AGGTGTGTTTGGCTTGTGAGACTGCTCTGCAGTTATCTTCAGTTCTTCTTCAGTTCTACAAAGTTTTTTTTGCCCAGCTGTATTTTGGCTTTTGAGATGGTTATGTTGTCCATGAAGCTGTGGGGACCCGTTCTCTTTCCCTGTTGCCAAAGAAACAAAGCGAGTAGTTATGATGCCTCCTGGTGAGGCAAAAAAGCAGAAGGGGCAAGTTTCTGTTGATGCATTTAGTGATGAAGTCTGCAGCTTTGGCAAGAACCTTGGAGCCTGGATTGGGGTTGAAGCTGCCAGTCCTTGACTGCTGTCTTGTGTTGCTCAGAAGAGGAAGGCTATCAAGAAATGGTGGATGCTGTATTTGAAGTCAAATGGGCAACTCTGCGGCTGAGAAGCAGTGTGGGTCAAAAGACCCCAGGGGTGCGGTAGAAGATCAGCTGAAGAAGAGCAAGCCTGGGACCAGGTGTCCAAGAAGGCCCAGGGCATGGTGGCCTGTGTCAGCAGCAGTGGGGCAGCAGGAGCAGGGCAGTGAGCGTGGCCCTGTGCTGGGCAGCGCTGCAGCCACAGCTGCAGTGCTGGGTGCACTTGTGGGCCCCTGGGCAGCAGAAAGTCATGGAGGGGCTGCAGGGTGTGCACAGAAGGACAGGGGAGCTGGGCAAGGGGGTGCAGCACGAGGCCAGTGAGGAGGTGCTGAGAGAGCTTTAGTCTGGACAATGGGAGCTCTTGAAGGACCGTCCCTAAAGAGAATTCCATAAATCCTTACACGACAGTGCTCACCACAAGGGCCGCTTCCCCACTAAACATGCCCTCACTGCATCCAAGTGATTTAGACACTGGGGTGGGTCACACTTCCATCTTGTGTCTTTTTCGCTTGTTGGCTTGTTGGCTTGTTGGTTTTCTAGGAGAGGTTTGCCCTGTATGTTTTCTCCTTTTCCAGCAAGCAAAGATGTTTTTGCACAATGTTTCCTTCCCCTTTCCGGCACTGGATGAGATTGTGATCCAGTTTGAGTTTTCCTTGTCTGCAGCAGCAGTGGCAAAGGCGTTGCCGTTGCTTTCCTTCTGTTCCATTTCAGAGCTTTCAAGAACTAAAGGTTCCGTTTTACAGAGACAGCGTTGCTTGCTGATAGCAGCCAGGGAGGAATATCAACCTTATATCCACCTAGAGTTCTGTTGAAGTGGCCCATTAAAATTTGGTCTGTGGGACTTTGAATCCCTATGTCGCTACGAAATGTTCTGATTTCTCCTTAGAAGATGTGGTGGTAGATCTGAAAAGAAATGAGGTTCTAAATGAGAGGTGACGGCCTGAGCCTCGCGCTTCTCTCTTGCCGCAGATGACAGAAGCAACAGCCGTCTCTCCCCCGGCTCCCGCTGCTCCTGGAGAAGAAGCCAAAGAGGAGCAAATTGAGGTGGATGAGCGCCAGACTCCATCAATGGTCACACCAGAGGCTGAATATCCCGAGGCCGTAAGTGCCAGTTGTGTGCGGTGCTGTCTTTAGTGCAAGGCAGAAGTGCAAATATTGGAGCAGCCAGCGCTTCCTGTTGCTGGCCGAGGATGCTGGGTGCTGGAATCCTGACAGTACCCAAGGATTTCCTGCAGACTGCAGCATCAGTAGAACTTGGCCTTTGACCTGTGATCTTGAGGCCCCAAAGGGCTGGTGCTTCTGGGAGAGCATCTGGCTGCTTGGCTCAGGGGAGCTCTATCTCTGGGCTTCTGCAGTGCTCTGGCCAAGGGCAGACGTGGTAGTGCTGGAGGTGACGGGGCTTTGTTTGTCTGTTTTATTTCCGTTTTTGGAAAGGTGTGTTTGGCTTGTGAGACTGCTCTGCAGTTATCTTCAGTTCTTCTTCAGTTCTACAAAGTTTTTTTTGCCCAGCTGTATTTTGGCTTTTGAGATGGTTATGTTGTCCATGAAGCTGTGGGGACCCGTTCTCTTTCCCTGTTGCCAAAGAAACAAAGCGAGTAGTTATGATGCCTCCTGGTGAGGCAAAAAAGCAGAAGGGGCAAGTTTCTGTTGATGCATTTAGTGATGAAGTCTGCAGCTTTGGCAAGAACCTTGGAGCCTGGATTGGGGTTGAAGCTGCCAGTCCTTGACTGCTGTCTTGTGTTGCTCAGAAGAGGAAGGCTATCAAGAAATGGTGGATGCTGTATTTGAAGTCAAATGGGCAACTCTGCGGCTGAGAAGCAGTGTGGGTCAAAAGACCCCAGGGGTGCGGTAGAAGATCAGCTGAAGAAGAGCCAGCCTGGGACCAGGTGTCCAAGAAGGCCCAGGGCATGGTGGCCTGTGTCAGCAGCAGTGGGGCAGCAGGAGCAGGGCAGTGAGCGTGGCCCTGTGCTGGGCAGCGCTGCGGCCACAGCTGCAGTGCTGGGTGCACTTGTGGGCCCCTGGGCAGCAGAAAGTCATGGAGGGGCTGCAGGGTGTGCACAGAAGGACAGGGGAGCTGGGCAAGGGGGTGCAGCACGAGGCCAGTGAGGAGGTGCTGAGAGCTTTAGTCTGGACAATGGGAGCTCTTGAAGGACCGTCCCTGAAGAGAATTCCATAAATCCTTACACGACAGTGCTCACCACAAGGGCCGCTTCCCCACTAAACATGCCCTCACTGCATCCAAGTGATTTAGACACTGGGGTGGGTCACACTTCCATCTTGTGTCTTTTTCGCTTGTTGGCTTGTTGGCTTGTTGGTTTTCTAGGAGAGGTTTGCCCTGTATGTTTTCTCCTTTTCCAGCAAGCAAAGATGTTTTTGCACAATGTTTCCTTCCCCTTTCCGGCACTGGATGAGATTGTGATCCAGTTTGAGTTTTCCTTGTCTGCAGCAGCAGTGGCAAAGGTGTTGCCGTCGCTTTCCTTCTGTTCCATTTCAGAGCTTTCAAGAACTAAAGGTTCCGTTTTACAGAGACAGCGTTGCTTGCTGATAGCAGCCAGGGAGGAATATCAACCTTATATCCATCTGGAGTTCTGTTGAATTGGCTCGCTATACTTCGATGGGAGGGTCTTAGAATCCCTATGTCGCTACGGAAGGCTCTGATTTCTCCTTAGAAGATGTGGTGGTAGATCTGAAGAGAAATGATCCTCTTAATGATAAGTGACGGGCCTGTGCCTCGTGCTACTCTCTTGCCGCAGATGACAGAACCAACAGCCATCTCTCCCCTGGCTCCCGCTGCTCCTGGAGAAGAAGCCAAAGAGGAGCAAATTGAGGTGGATGAGCGCCAGACTCCATCAATGGTCACACCAGAGCCTGGATATCCTGAGCCTGTAAGTGCCAGTTGTGTGCGGTGCTGTCTTTAGTGCAAGGCAGAGGTGCCAGTTTTGGAGCAGCCAGCGCTTCCTGTTGCTGGCCGAGGATGCTGAGTGCTGGAATCCTGCCAGGAGCTCGGGATTTCCTGCAGACTGCAACAGCAGCACTGGGCCTTTGAGCTGTCATGTTGAGGCCCCAAAGGGCTGGTGCCTTTGTGAGAGCTTCTGGCTGCTTGGCTCAGGGGAGCTCTATCTCTGGGCTTCTGCAGCGCTATAGTTGAGGGCTCACGTAGTACCGCTTGAGGTCATGGGGCTTTGTCTCTTTTATTTCCTTTTTTGGAGTTGTGTGTTTGGTTTGTGAAACTGGTCTGCACCATTTTTTTGTAATTCTTTAGTTCTAAAAAGTCTTTTGCGCCAGGTGACTTTTTGGTTTTTATAAGGTGCATGATGTTTATTGTGTTCATTTTCCTCTGTCTTTCCTGCCGTTTTCCAGTACCATAAGAAATTCTGCTAAAATTTTTTTTTACATGTTTTCAGTTTTTGGAGTTGCCATATATTTGGATTAGAACACATAGTTTGGGGCATGCATCTTGGTGCAGAAGGAATTTTTCTTGTTATAGGCTAGTTAATTACACCTTGCACTTCTCATGGAAATGAACAGTAGCTCCGTCTTTTTGCAGCCCAGGGAATCCGTTTTTGCTGTGTTTAGGATTTGGGAAGGAAATCAATGCCCTTGCATTCCTGCTGGTGCTCAGAGATCAGAGGAGCTAGGAGGGGCTGGGATGTATTTCTGATTACAGCTTATTTTGCACCATGTGTGTGGTGAAGTCCAAGAGCAGAACTTGCCCGAGCACAGATGCACAAAGAGTGCAGTTCCCAGTGCAATGCTCTGGGTCTGATCCCTTTCCATAAGGACCTACACACTCCAGATTCCCCAAGAGTGTGGTTTATTGAGCAACAGGAAAGCAATCTCAGGATTGCTGCTGATCAGGGCACTGCTACTGAGTGTTGATGTGTGTAGCAACAGAAAGGGCAGTAAAAAGAGATTATCGTGGTGAGATCCATCTGTCTGTCTGTCTGTCTGCCTGTCTATCTATCTTTCCATCCTATGTAACATTTGCATAATTGAATATTCCTGACTCTGGTCCAAGGCAGTTGGAGGTGCAAAGCTCACCTAAAGCATCCCTTTCAGGAGAGGATTAGAGACATGTTCCATCAACTAATTCAGAGCAGGCATAGATGTCTCCCCCTTCAGATATTGTGGTTTTTCCCCTCAGAGCTGTTTTTCTCCTCCAGCCTCTTCTTCCCTAAAGCCCCCAGTTAATTCTTTAATTTTCTGCCTGTCCTAGAGTGGTGAAGTATTCCATGTTTAGGTGGTGAAGAGAGCATGAACTCTAGAAATGTCTCTCACAAAGAGTGAGCTCACCCAGGAAGCCACCTGCAGAGCCAGGATGGAGCTGTGGGACAGGGCAGGGTGTCAGTCACTACTGAAAGACAAACAGGACATGGCAGAAGCAGAGGGAGGCCCTCAGCAGACCCTTGAGAAATGCCACACCTTCCCTGTCAGCTGCCTGAGAGGCTGTTGGAGCTTCAGTCCCAGATGGCCCCTGATTATAGGGCCAGGGTCACTTTGGAATCTGTGCCTCCCCTCAAACAGAGAATGACCCAGCAGAGCAGCAGCACAGTGCTTTGGGAACGTGTGAGCCCAGCAGTCTTTGAGTCTTGGCCCACAAAGGTCGTGTGGGAAGTTGAAACCCATCTTCTCTTGCTTTCTGTGCAGGTGCTCCTAGAGAGAGAGCAGGAGCAGATTGCTTCAACAGAGATGCCATGGCAGATTCAGGGAGAGCTGTTCCCAGCGCGAGAGCAGGAAGAGCAGCTCAGGCAGCAGGTGGAAGAGCCACAGGAGAATGGCCAGGTAAGCCTGACTAGCCAGGGGACAGAGGGAAGGGCAGGGAGAGGGGCATAAAACCAGAGCTCTTGGGACTGAGGAGGCCAGGAGTCCCAGTCCAAGGCACTGGAAGCACAGAGCCTTGGAATTTGTAGAGATCAGCACTGGGACAGCAGGATTACCTTGGAAGCAGATGTGGATAGGAAAGCAGAAAGAAGTGGCTGAATAAATGTGATTTTGAGGCTGCAAGAGGAAAAAGCTGAGCCTGATGGCAGCTCCCAGTCATTTGCTCTGCATTTGTGTGTACAGAAGATCCAGGCAGAGCCACAAACAGAGCTGCCCGAAGCTCAGAGTGACATCATGGCAGTGAAGAGAAAGAACAAGGAATACTTGAGAAGTATTCAAGAGGAGAATCTCCATCAGCAGAGGAGCGACCAAAAAAAGGTGAGTGAAAGAGTGGCAGGCACTCCACTCAGGAAACATCCTCTCTCTTGTTTTTTAGAGAAGTTGAAGGAACAGCTGAATGCAGAGCTTCAGACAGCTCACACTAGGATGATGGCAAGGCGGAAGAGGCTGGAGGATGAAATGAAAATCATCAGAGAGAAACTTAATCCCCTCCCTCAGGCTCTAGAAAAGCAAGTGAGTGAAAGAGGGATGCAGTCACTGCAGTCACCAAGCTGGTGGTTTCTGCCTTTCTTGCCTTTCCACTCAGAGCAGCAGGGAGTGGGGTGATGCCTCTGAGTGCCATCCTGCTGTAGTGTGTATCACAGTCACTCTGAAGGACATTTCCTGGTGTGCTGAATTGCCTCTGCTGCCATGAATTGTTGGACTTGTCCTTTGGCCTTTTGGCCAGCTGTCAGTCAAATTGATTCCTGCTGGCCTGTTCCTGCTCTCCTTTTTTCTTGAGATGTTTTTACAGGGGAACATGGAGACCCAGATGGAGGATTGAAACAAGCTGTCTGTATCCCTTGTCAGTCTGTTCTTTGCCTTTCCTCACAGTCGATGACTCCTGGCTGACAGGGACAAGCTGGAGTCTCTGACTGCTTTGTTCTGTTTGATTTGAGGTGCAAGTGTTGGCATCTCACCGGGCAGCCTGCGAAGACTTCCAGCGAATGTCTGGCAATGAAGAGCCCCAAGTTAGGAGTGAGGCACAGGTACCATCCCCACCAGAAGTGCTACAGGTTGAGCATGACCTGAAGATGGTGCAGGAAAAGAGAACACAGTGGGAGGAGGCAGAACACTTGAACAAGGAGCTGCAAGTGTGTCTGCAGCCCTTGGAGGGGGAAAGGAATCCTTGAGAGGAGGTAGAATGGTCATTGTGGCAGTCATCCTTTGGAAAATCCATGAAAATGGAACATGAATCTGGCCATGAACTCAAGTAAAACTTGCCTTTGGTTTTGATCCATCCAGTTTGAGAAGTGGACATCAGAAAAAAGCCATTAAAGAGCCCTGCATGTGGCTGACAGCACCTTTCTAAGGGCCTGAATTTCAAAAAGGGATCTCAGGGTAATCTCTGCCAGCCACCTTTCTGACATCAACTCATTTCTTGTCCCAGATCTACACAAGCTGTGTCACCAAACCTGCTGCAGCAGCAGCAGCATCATCTAAAGGAGCCTTTTCTCCCCGATCTGAGAAGTGGAGCCGGGGCAGTTTGTTCACCTCCCGCGCTGACCCAGCTGCTGCTCAGCAACAGGAGATCGAGGGTGACTCCCTGGAGCTGCTGAGTACGTCTGCTCTATTTCTTGTCTGAGGGACAGTGCATTGTGTGCAGGTGTCAGCATAGCTGTACCAAATGTTTCTCCTGAGTTTGGTGTCACGGGGACATTTAGGAGCCCCACAGGAACTGCTGTAGAAAATCAGTCTCTGTGCTGGCCACCTGTGCTGCAGAGCTGTCTGCCTGGTTGTTGTTGTTGTTACCCAGCTGACCACAAAGGGTTCAGAGCTCCAGACACTGGGGCTGCCTTTTGTATCTCCTGGAAGCTGGGATCTCTGCTTTAATGTCAGCATCTTGCATTTTGTTTCCCTCAGGAAAAATAGTAAACAAGGAAAATCCCAGGATGAAATACACCAAACTGGAAGATATTGGCAGCGGGTGAGTCCAACTGCAGTTACTTCTATATAACCATGGGCCAGGTGTTTTTCTGGTGGAATGTCTATCCAGTGTGAAGTCAGGCCAGCTGCAAACAGACATCTATCTCCATGTTCACACACTGGGGATAGATTGTCCCATCTCTCAGTGCTGCTCAGAATTTGTGTATGTGCTCAGAAGGCATTGTCAGAGACACCTCCATGCTGCCAAGGTCTTGCCTGCAGCAAGGAACACAATCTGGAAAATCTCATCTCTCAAGTGTGAGACACTTCTGTGTTAATTTCCTTAGCATTTTTGTATATTTTTAAATCATACTGCCACACTAATAAAGAGGGAAAAAACTTGCTTTCCTGAAAAAGCAACCTCCTCCCTGATAGCTGTGAGATAATAGTTCTCAGGAACATTTCTTTCCAAGAGTTTGCTGAAGGAAATACTCTGTGGTCAGGATAAAAACTGAACAGTTTAGAAACTGAAACCCGAGGTGAAAGAAGCATCTCTATTTTTGAGCTAAGGCAGTAAACCCAAGCACTTCAGGAACAGGCCCAGTGCCCAAGCACTTGAGAGGAAAATGCATCATCTGCCTTCTGGCAGAGCCCTCCTGCATCTCTGCACTCACAGCAGAGATCTCTTGTGTGGGCTGGCTTTCACTGAAAGATCTAAATGGCTTCTACTTTCTTTGCTGCATTTTTGTTTCTAGGACTTTTGGAGACGTGTGCAGAGCACTTGACAATGCCACAGGGAGAGAGGTAAATGTCAACAGGCCCTGCAAACTCTGCTGCTCTTGAGGGGCTTTCCCCTCTGGTGTGAGCTGTGGCTGGAGCTTTGGGCAGAGCTGTCCTGAAAAGGCACAAGAAGCACAGACTGGTGCCAGCCTGCAAAATACATTTGGGACTTTGTCCTCCTCAGCTGCCGGAAGGAAGGCACGGAGGGCAGCAGTTCCTTTCAGAGAAGGACGCGCTCGCTCGCTCTCCATTGCTGAGAGCTCCATCGCTCACCACCAAACAAAGGTGGTGCCTTCGAGCACCTCACTGCTCTTTGGTGCTACAGCTTCAGAGTCCTGAATTCTCATTTCTGGCTGCCAGCAAATACATCTGAAAGTTCCTGGTAGTTCCTTAGCCATCTGCAGTGCTGCACTTGGGAACTGCACATAGGGAGAGATCTGCAAGGTGCCCTAAAAGCCCAAGCCCTGCCCATAGCCCAAGATGTACCCACAGAGTATTAAGGCATGGATTACTTCTTCTGAATCCCAAACAAGGCAGCAGAGAGTGTGGTCAGAGGTTTGCGGGTGATAGCTGAGACACTACTGTTACCAAGTGGTCAAGGCAAAATGTCAGTGGCCCCACGTGTGCTGTAACTGGCCCCCAAGGGAGCAGAGAAATGGGCTGTTGGAATGTCAGTTCCTCATTACTGCAGTGCCTCATCACAAGGCAGTTTGGCACAGCTCAGCTGTGTCATTGCAAAATCACTCGCTCCATGTGCATTGTGGTCTCATGCCACCAACTTCTCAAGTTACTGATTTTCAATGTCATTTTAGGTGGCCATAAAGAAAATAAATCTAAAAGGACTGAGGAAGAAGAAATTAAAAGTCAATGAACTCATGGTCATGAAAATTAATAGGAATCCCAACCTGATCAACTATTTAGACAGGTGAGTTGTTGTGAATGTTTCTTTACATATAGCAAACATGCCAGATAAAATCCCACTTTGGTCAGTGGCAGAAAATAGAGCTGTAATTATTGGCTAATTATTATTGCTCTGCTCATCTCTAATGGATGGGAAGAGAGTGCATCTTGTCTGCATAAGTCTTCTCTGGCATACATAGTTTGAAAATTACTCAAAAACCTGGACCAGTCATATCTTACTAAATCAATAGCCTGTAAGTTCACAGCCACCACTTTTTTTTGTGGCTTTATTTTTTTCAAGTGTCTTTTTATGTCCAGATAAACTAACATAAATGTCCCCTCTTTTCCATTGCTTTGCATGCCAGGAAGACTAGGTGCTTATTTCCAGAAACACACAGTGTGACAGGTTTTTTATCTCTTACTAAACTGCATTTTGTTATTTGCTGGCCATTTATGCCTTTCTTCTTGAGACTGCACAGATTGCAAACAATGCATAGCTGAGAGGGAATGTCTATTCCTTTTATTCTGGCCTTGTCACAAAGGCACCTGTAAACAAGAATCAACCAAGAACACAACCTAGCTATGCATGTTCATCTCCACAGCCTTGTTTCCTTCTTTCAGCTACCTTCTGGGCGAGGAACTCTGGCTAGTTATAGAGTACATGGATGGAGGCACTCTGAGCGATGTCATCAGCAAGACTTGCCTGTCTGAAGACCAGATGGCAGCCATCAGCCGGGAGGTCAGCAATGCCATCTGTGTTTCCGAGGGCTTGGGCAGGATTGTCTGGAGAGCAGGGGCTCAGACCACGAGAGGTTTCCTGTGCCAGGCTTTGTTTCTGTGTTGCTGCTATGCTATGGGCAAGTAAAAGCACCTCAAGTGAAATGCCTGCCAGTGCCCCTGCACTCACTGTACTCAATGCCAGTACTCTTATCTCCTCCGGTTGTATTCTCACTCTGCCTCATGTATTTATTTGTATTTGCTGTTCTCCATTTTGCCTCTCTAAACATATGCCTGGGTCCTGTCTTCACTGCATTCCTTGCCTGTGAAAGCAGAGGTGCTGGTGGCAGGATTTGAAACAAGCAGCAAAGAAAAAAGAGAGACTCATTTCTCACAGTCCTCAGCTGAAAAGGATAGTAGTGCAGCCAAAATGCTCTTTGCTTCAGGAAGGTGACTGATGTGATACTTCCAAGTCTGTGCTGAGGCCAGCAATAAAACCTTTGTCATGCAGCCTCCCACCCAAAAGTGATCCACTTCACACCAAAGGGAGGGACTTTTTCTTTCTTGGCAAGACCCTCATTTGTCTTCTGCATGGAGATAGCATGTCCACTGCAGCAGGAGTCATCCTGGCTGGTTTGCAGGGGGCAGTCTACAAGAGCAGGTGCTGTTGCTCTTTCAAAAGCTGACATGCCTTTCCTCAGAAAGGTCCTGCTCTGCAAGTGTTGGAGCAGCAAGCTCTTCCTCTCGGTGGCACTGTGTTCTGCCATTACTCCCCATTCCCCTGGGGAAAGAGAATCTTTTAGAGTCTTTGTTCCCTTCTTGTGTGATACTTATTTTTGCCCTCCTCTTTCTGTTTTCTCTCTCAGTGCCTGCGAGGACTGGATTTTCTCCACTCAAACCATGTGATCTACCGAGATGTGAAGAGCTGCAACATCCTTCTCAGAACCAATGGTTCTGTCAAGCTGGGTCAGTATATTCTTGGTCAGGTGCAGCATTCCAGGGATGTGGGCTGTAGGCTGCTTTGAGTGACTGCCAGCTCCCCAGAAATGGTGCTGGTGGCAGTGCAGGGACCCCTACTGTAAGCTGAGGGCACAGTTGCAATGTGCACAGAGGTATGAGAAGGAACTACAAGAAGTCAAGATTGCCCTTGGTCTGTGTGTGTCCCTTACAGAGGGAGGGAGCCACAATCTAAAGTTTCAGGGGAATAAAGTCCACTGCTGTGAGCAGCATTAAAAAAAATGGGTTTTTTTGGAAGTGGCCAATTCCATACTACCTCCTACCATACTACATACTACTACTACCTACTAAAGCCCCATGGAAACTGAGTGTGGACAGTTCTTCGGGAGATCCAAGAGCACATTCTTAGACTGAGAGTGGGGAATTCTTTTGCTTGATATCCTAACTGGAGCTGGCTTTCATGGTTTGTTGTTTTCTCCACAGCTGACTTTGGCCTCTTTGTTCAGCTCACCCCTGAGCAGAGCAGACGGAGCTCCGTGGCCGGCACTTCTGGGTGGCTGGCGCCTGAAGTGGTGACAGGTCAACCATATGGCCCCAAAGTGGACATATGGTCTTTTGGAATCGTGGGCATCGAAATGGTGGAACGAGAAGTTCCTTGCAGGAATGCAACTCCTGTTTCAGTAAGGAGCAAATACTCACTGATCCCACTGTCTTTCTCATCTGTCCCATGTTCTGTGTGCCATTGGACAAAATCCCATTGCCATCTGCTGGCACCACTTCCACCAAGGTCCCCTTCTAAAAATGTCCCTGCAGCACATCAGCATCCGCTGTAGATTTGGTTGCATCAGAAAGGGAAGAGGCAGTTCAGAAACCTAACCAGTTCTGAAAGTTGCCATTTTGGCCTCCAGCCAGGCCTGACATTGCTTTTTGAACCCTGTTGGAGCTCTGGCTTTGAAGGACAAGAATTTTTCAGTGGAACAGTTGGAAGTGTGATAAATATCCTTCAAAATGGAGGTTGAGTCTTCCCAGTTTCAGTTTTATAGAAAAAGAAAAAGCAAAAAGAAACAACCAGCAAAGCAATGCCCAAGCAGTTCTGCTTGCTTTTTTGCTTTTGAACCACAACACATCAATTTTCCTCCATACTGTAGCATCTTTTCCAAATCCTGTGGGTCTTTGAAACTTTCAGGCTTTCGAGTAATCTGTACATTGTTCAGTCATGTGTGTGGGAGGCCTGGATAAGTTTAGGATGTGTTTTTCTCCAACTGCAGTTAGAATTGTACACCAAACCCTTGGCTGTTTCTTGGTACTTTAACAAGTTGATGAGCTTGCAGCCAGGTGCCTGGGCTGGGATCCAACGTGGGCAGTTGACACCGGTGCTGTGTTTCTTTACCACAGGAGCATGGTCATCCCTGGCCTGCACAGTTCTAATGACAGGGAGGACACCAGCTCCCCACCATGTCCAGTGGCTGAGCACAGCTGCAGAGGGATAGGATAAAACCCCCTTTGTGACCTCTGGTGGTGTGGGAAAAGGAAAGAAAGCTGTCCTAATTATTTATACTCAAGTGAAATGTGTTTGTTGTTTTAGGCTTGGAAATTTTCCTTTGGGTTGAAGAGGATAATAACAAAGTCTCTTTGGTCACTATCTATTTCAGTGCCACCAGCACAGAGCTGTTAGTATTGTGATGGGCACTTTTATGGAGACCAGGCCACAGCCTGGGGTCATGGAGATCCTGCCAAACCGCCCTTTTCTTACCCGACACTTTCTGCGATTGAGTATCCAAATGAGCAGAGGGTGACCATAGGCATGGCACTTCTTCTTCTGATTTGACCATGAAAAGGTTTCCTTTTGCCACATAAAGAAGCAAAAATGTGCAGCTGAGAGACAGAGCTAGAAGTGGTTCCTGTGCACCCAAGCAAGCATTTTCATCTCAATATATTTGTGCATGCCTCTTAATGTGTCTGTGTTGAATATGAGATCCCAAATGTTTGCTTTCCTTTCCTGAGGACTAGCTGGTGGATTTCCTTTCTTTCCTTCCACTTACCACTGGAAGAGTTTTCTAGAAGAGGAAAAGAAGCTCAATGAGATTTGTTTTATGGCAGTTGTGCTTCAGGGACCAATAAGCACTGCAGAGATGCCTTTCATGTACTAATCCTTGGAAACTGTAGAGTTAGTATAGCAAAGTCCCTCTTCCAAAAAGCCTCTCAAGCTGGTGTGAATCCTTAGGGAAGGGAACGTACTTTGCTGATGTAGCTCCTACTAACTAGGTCAGTCAATGAAATCAGCTGCCAAGGCAAGATCTGCTGAATGTTGGAAAAGCTGTGGCTGCATCGGAGTTTGGGTTTTTGGTTGGTAAAGGAAAGTCATCTCTGGGTCTCTGCCAGGGCAGAAACTGCCACTGCAGAATGGAGCTTAACCAATGGGATGCGGGAGAGCAGTTACAGATGGGAAAGAAGCGGGTAGAGCCTGGTGTTTCCTTTTTATCCAGGCTCAACTCCGGACAGCCAGGGGAGAGAGACCACGGCTGCGGCAGCCACACCGATTCTCGTCTTGCCTGTGTGACTTCCTGAGCTGCTGCCTGCAGACAGACGTGACGTGTCGCTGGTCTGCCAGGGAGCTCCTGAAGGTAAAATGTGAAGGGGCTGCAGGTGAAACAGGCTCTGAGGGATGGGCTCCTTCTCCACTCAAGTCCAAGCCATCAGATGAGCCCCCTTACTCCGCACCTCCGCTCTTGCTGCTCTTCAAATGAAAACGGTGAGGAATCCTAGACTGGGCTGGGCTGGCAGGATCCTGTAAAGGTCCTCTGGTGCAAGTGTCCTGCAATGAGCAGGGACATCTTTAAAGAGATCAGGTTGCTCAGAGCCCTTTGCCACCTGACCTGCAACGGGGCACCTACAAGCTCATGGGACAGCCTGTGACAGTATTGCACTATGCTCTGAGTAAAAAAGTTCTTCCTTAGACCTACTCTGACTTGATCCCCATTTTGATTAAAAATATTCATCACATTCTATTGTAACTGGACCTGTTAAAAAAGATGTCCCCCGCTTTCTTCAAAGCCACTCTGAAGTCTTGGAAAGTGGCAACAAAGTCTCCCTGGGGCCTGTTCTTCACAAAACTGAATAACTCCACCTCCCTCCACATTTCCTGAGAGGAGAGCTGCTCTGTTTTCTGTTTCTGTCACCCTCTTTTGTAATTTGGTGGGGTCTTGAGTTTTATCTAATGGCAAAAGAATTGAAGTAGAGCAATGCAGGCTACAGAGACATGAAATGGTGGTGGTGGAACCCAAGGAAGCCAGTCCCAGCTGAGCAGTCAGAGATTTGGCTGTGGGCAGGAGGGGCTGTGGGGGGCTCACTGGGAGCCTCTGAGGGGCCCTGTTTTGTGCCCCCCAGCCCACTCTTAGAGGTTTCTGCCACACAAACAGGGACAGCTGGGAGGGACTTGTCCCAGCCCCATCTGCTGCCTGGCACGCCCAAGCAGACGGGAACTGTGCCAGGGTTACTGCCAGGTTGTGTGGCAGAGAGGGAACTGCAGGGCCCAGTGCCACTGGGCTGGCCCTGCTGGGAAGGAAGGTGCCATCCAGCACACGAGGGGCAGGGCATGGAAAGGCAGACACTGCTTTCTGTCCCTGTGGAAATTTGCACAGTGCCTGTCTTGCAAAGGCAGGGACCTATGTGAGCCATTGGAGTTTCCTGCAAGGAAGAAAGGCCAGGGACAGAAAGCACCATTTCTAGAGCACTGGCAGGGCAAAAATCCTAGCAGGATGAAGACATCACAATAAATGGATGAGTGGGATTCTGAGTCAGGTTTGCCTGTGATGGCAAGGTCATGCATATGATGATTGGGGAGCAGATTGTCCCATTGCTCCTCTTTCTGGGTCTTTTTAGGACCCAGAGGAATCCTGATTGACTCTCTGAAGCACTGAGCTTGGAAAGTGATGGTTCAATGTTCTTTGTTGTTTTGGTTTTTTTTTCCTGTGGACAGCATCCATTTGTAACTTCAGCCAAGCCAGTGTCCAGCCTGGCACCACTCATCAACTCAATCAAGATGAAGAAAAAGAAGGAGGAGTGGAGAAGAAGAATGTAATAATGAAGATGTTATCTCCATAACCAACTTAGAGTAGGATTGTAGAGTAGGACTCCAGAGTAGGATTGTTCAGTAGTTTTGCTTTATAGAGTAGGTTTATAGTATAGGTTTATAGAGTAGGATTTATAGTATAGGTTTATAGAGTAGGATTATTATTAAATAAAGTTTCTGAAACATCAACTCATTTGGAAGATTCCCCTCCTTCGGACCCCTTCAGACAGCTTGGCATTTTCTTCTGAATTACCAGTTGTTTTTTACTGGTGCTAAGTCACACTTATGGCTTCTTTGGTATGGTTTGTAAGTGGAGAAGGTTCTTCTTCATTCATCCTCTCCAGACCACACTGCCTTTGGAATATGACCCACTGGCTGGTTTTGGAACAGCTGTGATATTTCTATTTGAGGCAGAAAAGGTAATGGCATTTGCAGGAAAAACCAAAGGAGGGGAGAGGCAGCCAAGTCATCCTGTGTTGATTCAGGCCTTCAGTCGTGACTCAAGAGCATTTGAGTTGCTGCCACTTGGATTTGTATCCCTAAGTGCAATCTCTTTGGCAGAAGGAGAGCCTTGCTCAAGTGAGAAAGCAGAAAGATCAGAGAGGGTGCTTGGCAAGGTCTCCTGAGGTGCAGAGCTGTCAGCGCCTGTGAGGTGAGAGCGGCCCCGGCCTTGCCTGGGCTGGAGCCCCAGCAGAGCCCAGGCAGAGGCGGGAGCAGGCTGAGCCCCGGCAGAGGCAGGCTGGAAGGAGGCCCTTGGAGCTGCAAGAGGCAGCAGCCGGGCCCTGGGTGCCTGTTCCTGGGAGCGGGCGAATCCTGCGCTCTCAGAGCCCAGGTGGCAGCTGGCTGCTGCCGAGGGGAAGCGCAGCCGTGCTGGGCACAGCCCAGCCTGGAGGCATTGGCCGTCTGGAGTGTGCCCAGGAGCAGAGAAAGGCCAAGGGCAGCCGAGGGCCGCTGGGCTGGCTGAGGATTCCTCCTCTTCTGCCGGCTGCCCTGCAACTCCTGGCCAAGGTCAGCAGTGTGTGCAGCACTCTGGGCACCGGGGCAGGGAGCCGGGCTGCTCGGCAGGCTGGAGCACAGGGCAGCCTCCTTCAGGCCCGGCACTTCTGCCAGGGGAAGCGAGGCCAGCGTGAGGCAGGGACAGCTTGGCAGGGCACATCTGCAGGAGCCAGCGCCTCACACAGCTCTGGGAGGAAGCGCCTGCAATCCTGCAGTTCTGCACTGAGCCAGAGCAAAGGTGTGAGATGCAGAGTGTTTGGCAGAAATATTCAGGCCCAGCAGGCCAGCCTGCTTTGTGCTGTCTGGCACACAGCAAGCGCTGTGCAATGCAGCTCTGAGCTGCTGGGAGAGAGGGAATCAGGGATGTTCCTGAGGGTTTTGCTTGAGTAGTGAACTGATTAGGAAGGGGGCAAAAGGGTTGCAGTAAGCAATTTTTGTTTTCTTAATTAATTTCTGAATTAATTAAGAAAATTTCTGAAGGAAGGATGCAATGTGTCTTCACTCATCAAAAGCACTTGCAGGACTTCTTGGCAAAAATCTTGTGTTTGTTTCCCAGAGTAGGAAGGAGAGGCGTTGGGAAAATGTTAAGGCGTAACAAATGGGGCTTAATCTTGTGAATTCCTTGAGCTTTGACAGGCAGCGCTTAATGTGTCCAAGTGGCCTTCCCCCATTGCAGTGCTTAATGTGTGCAAGTGGCTATCTTAACCTTGAGAACAAAGAGAATGGTCCTTCTAAGAAGGTAGCTGGAATGCATTCAAGGGAAGAAAGTGTTTTTAGGATGCTCTTGACTAGTGAAGGAGAATGTGAGGAATGGAGTGTTTCTCAAACAACTGTGTCCAAGACCCTGCCATATTTGATCCATTTTTGACCAGGTTGACAAGGCACTGAAGAAAAATATCTTGTTTAATGAATGGGAACTTGACCCTTTGTCCTGGTTGAGGGAAAATTTGGGAGAGAACCCCCATAGGAGTTCCTCTAGAAAGCACATTCAATCAGCCCCTCTCGCAACCAGTTTGGGAAAAATACCTCCTTGGAGAAAAGTGGAAAAACCTGTTTATTAAGCAATAAAACCTAAACAATATTAAACAATGAAACCTCTTGCCGCTCCAAAAGAGAGACAAACTCACAAAGTCTCCTCCGTGGGCTGTGGCTCAGCTCACTCAGCCTCTTATCAGTCCCTGTGGTGCTGGAAATGCCGCAGCCCAGGCCCAGCACGGTGGGTCACAGGTGTGACCTGCCAGTGCTCTTCTGGTGTTCAGTCTGGAGAAGGTCTAAACAGGTCCAAAGAAAAGGGGAAAACCCCCCCACAGTCCAGAGAACTTGTTTGCCTCAGCTAGCTAAAACAAACTAAAAGCAAAGGAGAGCTCTGTCTTGCCTTCTCTCTATCCGCAGACATCACAGTCCAGGAGCAGGAATGTGGAGCAGTGAGTGCAGTTTCTGAAAAGAAACTCCGTGCTTCTTCTCTCCCCCCTTCAGTCTTGGAACAAGTCTGCAAAACTTATTATTCAGCAAAACCAGAACAGATGACTGGGGATACAAGCATGATATAGTCAAGCCAGGACACCCTTGAAAGAGAAACAATGTATTGGTCAATCAGTGGGCAGTCAAGCTTTGAAAGGGGAACAGTGCGCAATGGAGCCCTTGCTGTCAGGGAGTTGGTATCCTGAGCCATCATGGCCTCATCCCACACGCTGGCCATGTGTGGGCTGATGCTGTAACTGGGAAAATTCCACTCCTGAGCAGGAGATATATGGCCTGGTTCTGGGGTGGTGGGGTGAGAAGGATGAGAGGCACAGCGTTTTGATCCACCATTGAACCGAGGCCAGCGTGAGGCAGGGACAGCTTGGCAGGGCACATCTGCAGGAGCCAGCGCCTCACACAGCTCTGGGAGGAAGCACCTGCAATCCTGCAGTTCTGCACTGAGCCAGAGCAAAGGTGTGAGATGTAGGGTATCTTGCAGGAATATTCAGGCCCACCAGGCCAGCCTGCTTTGTGCTGTCTGGCACACAGCAAGTGCTGTGCAATGCAGCTCTGAGCTGCTGGGAGAGAGGGAATCAGGGATGTTCCTGAGGGTTTTGCTTGAGTAGTGATTTGGAAGGGAGCAGAATAATTTCAGTAGGCAATCTATGTTTTATTAATTAATTTCAGAAAGAAAGTTGTAATGTGTCTTCATTCATCAATAATAGCACTTGCAGGACTTTATGACAAAATGTTTGTGTTTGATTCCCAGAATAGGAAGGAGAGGCACTGGGAAAATATTTAAGTGTAACAAATGGGACTTAGTCTTGTGAACTCCTTGAGCTTTAGCAGGCAGTGCTGAACCCTGTATTCCCCCATTGCAGTGCTTAATGTGTGCAAGTGGCTATCTTAACCTTGAGAATGGAGAGAGTGTTCCTTCTAAGAAGGTAGCTGTCATGCATTCAAGGGAAAGAAAATGTTTATAGGATGCTCTTGATCAGCAAAGGAGAATTTGAGGAGTGGGATATTTTGCAAACAACTGTGGCAGGGACTGGAGTTGTGTCTGAGGCCCTGTCATATTTGATCCATGTTTGAGCAGGTCAACAAGAAATGAAGAAAAGTCTATTGTTCAATGAGTAGGAACTTAACCTTTGAAAGAGAAACAGTGTATTGGTCAATCCGTGGGTATTGGAATTAATTACCAGTATAGCCAGAAGGGACGTGCCTGGGCTTGTCCGGCTCTCTCTGCTTGACTAAAAGGCGGCAACTGTGGTGTTTTCACCTCAGAAACACCTTTGGCTAAGCTGGATGCTGCAGCTGGGCGCTAGAGACAAGTTCAGACATGCAGGAGCTCAGGTTTTGCTTGGCAGAGAAGCTCTAAGGCGAGGATGAAGGAAAGGAGTCGGGTTCTGCTAGAGGTTTTCAATCCAGAGCTTTATTCCTGGCCCACAGGCCTCTGAATGCAGTAACAGCTCTAACAGAACCTGTCAAACCGCGTGGTTGCTGTTCCTTTTAACCCCGGGGAGAGGGGGAGGAAAGGGGTAGGGTTCCCACCAACCAGGTGCAGGGGGAGAAGTCTCAGGGGTCAAATGACACCAGGATGGCCCAATGTCCTCCAGGGGTGTAAGGTATCTTTTGAACTCTACCAATCACTCAACGACCTTCTGGAATGCCAGGACTGACAGACAGCGCTCAGCAGGGGTCAGGGTGGGGGAAAGGAGAGGTGATTGACACACCTGGGGAAGAAATCTACAGGGAGAAACCTGACATCACACCGCAACATCTCCCCCTTGTTTTGTTTAAAATGAAGAGGACTGGGTTTTGGGGGCAAAATTCTTGCCAAACCACGGTTGGTAAATTGGTTCCTCCTCTTCAGGAGGGTCAGTGTTTTCTTCTGCAGCTTCCATGTCATCTACTGGAGCACTAAGGGCTTCCAAATGGTGGACTTCAGGAGGGGAACATAACTTGCGAACCATGCGCTTGATTAGTCCAAAAACAATGGTAACGACTACAATAACAATAACTAGAATAAACAATACTAAAAATACAGTTTTCAGAGTAGATCCCACCCAGCCTGAGAGTCCCCAGCCCTTGAACAGTCCTATCAGCCAGTCGTCTGTTTCTCTCTTGATGTCATAATTTCAGGGTGGTCCATACGTTTGCTTTGGGCTGATGGACTATCCAGGAGATCGCTGGTGCAATGATCGAGAAGAGCAGACTCGGTCTCATGGTGTCTCGAAACTGCACACAAACAGTGGGATCTAAACTGGTACAAGGAACTTAAGACAAACATATATTGCAAACTATTCCAGATAGGAGGCTTAAATAAAATTTCTTCCAGGGAACATGCGCGGCGTTTCCTTTTCCAGGCAGCATTAGCAACCTGGGGTGCTTCTGTAGACTTCCCTGAGGCCTTGGGGACATAGGGCCTTACCCATTTGGAAAGGACCCACTTTGAACCAGAGGGGGTGGACACGCAGGTGTATCCAAGTCCCCATGTAACTAATTTATAAGGTCCCACTGTCTTCCAAGTCTCAGGGTCCTTTACTAAGACT